CCGTCTTGTTCCGTCAGAAAAAGGTGAATAATTTGCCGTCAGGGCTTCTCTTGCTCGCTGTCTCGATGAAGCAAGGACAAAGATGGTTTTGAGCCTGCATTTTAGCACTAAATGCAGCAAGACGGATGCAAATTATGATGCAAATCATTTCTTGTAGGTGCTGGGTCATTCGTTCAAGGTTTTGTTCGTATGTTCATAAAATTGTTTCTGTTGTTTTTTGTTATAGTTTATATCACATCCAGTAGTGTTCAATCTGTTGATGAAGCGTTGGAGAGGAGTGTTCGACACAAAGTCTTTAGCGTGGCCTTTTCTACAGCTATGGGCTATCTTTGACTTCATGTTCTTTCCTCTGGTCTTCGTTGTTTTGTATATGATTAAATTGATCGTAGAGTTGACCAAAAAAGGTAATTAGTAGATTTTTTTTGATTCAAAGTATTTCTAGTGAATATGTTTGTGTGTATAGTAATTGTGGTACAGTGTGATGATGATGACAATGAATGATGATAACGAAATGATAATGATGATGATAACGAAAATGTTGATATAACCTATTAATTTTAATGAAGTTATGAGGCTTTGCAGGAGCCTTTGCCTGTTTAATCGAAGCAGGGATGTTTAAAATGAGACCACATCTACGATATAATAGCAACGAAATCGTTGTTTCCTGGTCCAGWCTTACATAATATTAAAGTGTGTTTGTCTTCACCSTGTCGCTTTTTATCTCTAAATGGCGTACTTCACATCAATAGTTTAAAAATGTTATGTTATTTTCAGAATGCCACGCAGTTGTGATAATGAGTCCCTGTAACATGGACAGCATGGATGACATGCAAGATCTTACTAGTGCGTGCTTTGCTATTTTACGACCTCCRCACACCACTCATATCTTAGATAAAGATAAAATTGAACTTCACTCCAACAATATCGGACAACAATCAAGTGAGAGTTCCTTGATGGGCTGTCTAAAGTCAGCAAGGAAGAAATTTACCCAACTAGAGAGAGCTATACGTAAACCTACAGATAAGGTATGTTTAGTGATTGGAATATTGTTGATAGCGATAGCTGGCTGGCTTGATGCATTTTCCATTTATTTAAATGGATTTTTCATTGTATTTGGTAGTTGCTAATTGTAATGACAGATGACAAAGTCGACGCATCTCTTCGCACATTAACAAAAGAGGCTGCACGAATCAAGAACGACCGTGTCAGAGTCGTCTCTGTTGGCTTTGGAGTTCATCCAGATATCAAGGAACTCGAAGCCATGGCAACAACACAGCAAAATGTTTTCCTTTACCATGGGAACATCAAGTTAGGCGCCATTGTACAAAACATGCTTGAAAGTGAGTTTGATTAAACTGTTATAAGATAACAAAAAAGCRAAAACAAACCAAATAACACACCCTTATTGATAAACCATATATCATACCAACCATCCAATCCGCCATATCATCCACTGCCAGTGAAAGATAAAAAAAAGCAGCTGAACCGAATAGTGAACCAGCCAACCGACCTACCGAACGACCGACCCACTGACCAACCGACCAACGAATGAACCGACTGACCAAACAACCGACTAACCAACCAAAACAGCAAACCAAATACCCATCCAAATCACCATTTCATCAGTTACTAGGCTATACCCTGATTTTGCCTTCTTGTATAGGTTTGCGGGGAAAAAGTCTTTTGGGTAAGTTCGTTATATCCGTAGAATTTCTACAATACACCTTTTCAGTTGCACTTAGGTCTCGATAGCAAGTTAATTATTCTTTTCAATTTGACAAATGAGACTATTCATATCGATCAATGTTTGCGTTGCTGACATTCCTACAAATTCAAAAGAATATTKAACACGCTGTCGAGGCCTAAGAGCAACTGAAAAGGTGTATTGTACAATTATATCGTTTGTTTGTGAATTCGTTTATTTGTTACTTTAATATTTCCTTGAAAATGGCGCGGTTTGTTAGACAGATATGTGTATCATCGACGAATCACTAAATCAGCAACTCGGCTACGGCTCGTTTCTTCGACTCATTTTTTATCAATCAATAGCCGACTTGCGAATTACGCATCAATAGTCACATACAAAGGAATCAAGACGAGGCGCCGTGCTAAAGACAGTAGATTTTTCACAAAAAAGCACGGCGCCTCGTCTTGATTCCTTTGTATGTGACTATTGATGCGTAATTCGCAAGTCGGCTATTGTATATTCTTTTAACTTTTAACAGATCAATATCTTCAGTATTTCAACACACCTATCTTCATCTTCGAGCGTGAYACCCTAAGCTACCTTGCGTTGCTTGGACTTCATTTTGCCATGTGCCTCCAGCCTTCAAAGCTCGAATTCTCCGTCTTCGAATGGATAATAATGTTATTTTTCTTGGGGAGACTATTCATGGAAATATATCAAGCAGTCATGGAGAAATTGTTGAGCAATAAGATTGGGAAACGCTCAAGAGACTTTTTGRATTTTTGGTTTAAGGGAAAAGAAGAATTCACCGATGAGATTGACGGAGGATCCAATGAGACGAACATAGCCAACCAGAACAGAAAGAAAACTTTTTGCCGTATGTGTTTGAACATAATGTCAAGATATTTCAGGTAAACATAATAGTTCTTAGCTAAATATCTTGATCAAAACATAAAAATACATAACATAAAATAACATAACATCTTGATCAAA